GGGCGTCACTCGTGAGTTAAGAGCAGGACAAGAAAACGGCCACCGTGGTAACTACTGCGCCAGCCGCTGTGCTGAGCAGCTGGCGCACAGGACCACACTCAGTCCTCACGGCACCCCGGGAAGAAGCCTGGCCACCGGCCCTTCGGCACTGATGAAGACACTGGGGCAGAGACGCTGAGTCACTAGCCCAAGGGCACACAGGAGCCACTGGAGGAGCCGGATTTAACAGGGCGCCTGGCGACAGAGCCCGGCTTCCAGTGACCAGGCTTGTGCTGCTCTCAGCAGAAGTCCTTCCAGGACCACTTCACGTTAGTGCAGACTTTCGACGGCTGTAGGACGTATTTATAAGGGTCTCTACCGAGACACGCTCATTCTGCCTCAGGGCTGCTCCAGGAGGCTGTCGCCCCCTCCCTCCCCAGCTCTTACTTCCTGCCGCTCTCAGACAGCCACCCCACGCTGCAGCCCAGCGGTTCCGAAGGATGGCTACGACCCTTCTGCAGCCAGATTTTCAAGTAAGTCACACAGCTCAGAACAGAGCCTGGGAGGAAACGGCACCGAGTAAGTCCTGCTGCGTGAACGCTTCTGTCTCATTTCCGTGTGTGTTTTGCACTGGGTCGTGATACAACACTACCTTTGACTCTGGAGCAGAGTCACAAAGTCTGAACGTCTACGCCTGGTCCTTACACCACACTTAGCGCTGACACAGCACGTGCATGAGAAGTGGCTGCGAAACGGACAGACCAGTGCGCTCAGCAGACAGAGGGAGGTCACTCTGCGTGGACGCAGGACGAGGACGTCAGGGCTGCGTCCTCGACGACCAGGACTGCGTGAATGAGAGCCAGCAAAGAAAGCGAAGCACAGGAGGGGCCCCGCCTTACCCCTTCGCCCAGGGTACACGTGAGGGTAGTACTCATAGTAGAGATCTGGCTGGTCGAGGTTCCCAAAGGGCTCAAACTCCATCTCAGCATTCTGGAAAAGGCCCAGCTTCACCAGCAGCGCCAGCCTCACAAACCAGAGCTGAAAGCACAAAACAGAACTGAAACAGCAGGTCATCTGTGCATGTCCAGTCAGAGCCGGCCGCCCTCTGTCCCCGTGGTGTCAGAGCTTGGCCCTAACATGGGAGTCCCCCCAGGTTCTGGAGAATCTGGTGGCCTGCATGGCCCTGGGGGGGTCCCCACACAGTGGGAAGCAGAGTCGGAGCACCCCACAGGGAAGGGGGGTTTTAGGACCCTGCAGCAGCTCCTTTTCACCGGAGGCGCCCTGCCCTTCGCAGCCCCGCTCCGCACCCGGCAGTTTCTAGGACTGATGGCCCGCCCGCGTCCCCAGGTGATGGTCAAGCAGAGGTGAGTTCGGGCGGTACCTGCAGCGAGTCGGCTGTGTGGCTGGTGGGCAGCCCGCTCTTGCCATAGCCCTGGCCGTGGGCAGTGAGGAGCCGCCCGCACAGGTCCACCGCTGCTCTCCAGTTCCGGCAGCTCTGCAATACACGGGGATGCGGGGACAAGTGACCGCCTGCCGTGGGTGATGGTGTGGCTGCACAAGGTGAGGCAGAGAGGGCACCGGGCAGAGTGCCGGCTCCCGTGACACGGCTGACGGAACCAGGGAGGGCTCCTGTCGGAAAGCTCCCTCTGCTGCGCCCCCATCCATGACTGCTTTCCTTCTCAGCAAGTGGCCCGGCCTTGTGGGCTGTATCACTTCACAGCCAAGTGCCTGGCCTTCCACTACGTGTGGAACGTGGGTGTCTGCGTCTGTCAGATCTGCATGTGGCTATAAAATGAGTGGCTTTGTAGGTTGATCTCCGATAGCCAAAAAAAGAAAAAAAAAGAGCAAATGCCACTGTTAGCCTAAAAAATGAGGAAAAACAAGTTTTAAAAAAGAAACAGGTCACAGCAGACAAGGGCCATGACAGCAAGTCACTGGCACGGTGCTGGCAGGCGGGCTGCTACGCCCTCTCTGGAAAGCAACTGAGCGTGCAGCGCCAGGCTCAGAACTGCCCCCACCCTGACCCAGTGCCCTCCTCCTAGGGTTTCTCAGAAAGAAACAGCCCAAGGGGGTTGGTCCAGGACCCGCAGAACCGCAAGCCCACAGTCAGCTCTGCAATCTGTGCTTCTGCGTCTGCAGGTTTAACCAGCAGCGGGTCCCGGAGGGCTGTATCCACCCTCGCGCACTGGACCCCGCCGTCCAAACCCGTCTGCTTATGGCTCATCTACAATGGGAGATTCTGTGGGTATTTGCACACAAATGCGTGTACGCATCCACATCAGAGACGCATTCCACACACACACTCAAATGTTAACAGACAGTGGTCACGCAAACCATTTCTCTTCAGTGCTTCTGAAGTAAGAACACACTGTCTACAAAACGAGGAGACAAAGGCTGTGATCAAAGGGCAGGCCGCACACCTAGCGGAACAGCACTCTGCAGGCGGGACCTTCACGTCTGGTCTGAACGTGGACGATGTGCTCACCCACCTCTGCCCGACGCGAGGACCCTGACTGTCGCCTGATACGCACGGACCAAATTAGCGCCTGTTGAACCAGTACATTGTTTTTGTACCAAGTGCAGATGTGTCCCAAGTACCAAGTATGGCACAAATCACGAGGGAAGAGGGTTTCTCCTGGGGAGGTGGGGGCCCCCAACACTGTACCTCCCTCGTGAGCCCCGCCTGTGAGCTCCCCGACGGACCTCACAGGCGGAAAGGATGCATGCGAGCAAAAATATATTAGTGAGAAAATGTGAGCATGGATAGTTACATGTTTTTGAAACAAATAAGAAATGTTTATTACACAGTAAAGGCTCCTGTCTTATTTTGTATCCACTGTATACAGACACCTACCACCAATAAAACATTTAAATGTGTAATAAAATTATTTGCCAGTACTCTGCAAATATGAAGTGCCCCATAAATGATTAAAAATAGTAAAGGTATCATATATAAAGACCAGCTCTTGCTATGATTTTTATACTAAATTGTGTTTTCTGTATTTCAAACTAGATCACTATTAAAAATGAAGCAAAAACCTACCATCTTTTTCATTTTTTTAAGTAAACGTAGTCTTTAAACAACTGACTCCTCTCCTAACTGGAAGTAGAGAGCAGGACCGTTTCTGCTCCCATGACGTTTTCTTGCAGCAGAATCCCCCGGCGTCTGAGGGTGGCGGGCCCTCTGTATCCATGGGGCTCACAGCCGGGGGTTCAACCAACCCCAGATGGACAATACCCAGGGAAAAAATTCCAGAAACTGCCTAAAAGCGTAACTTGAATCTGCTGCGCACTCGCAAAGATGTCCCTAGCACTTAGATTGTACTGGGTACTGTGCGTGATCTAGAGATGCTTTAAGGTGCACGGGAGGATGTGGGAGCTACATGCAACACCACGCCATTCCACCCCGAAGCCCTGAGTATCTTGGAGTTTGAATCCGCGGGGTCCTGGAACGAGCCCCGACAGACGCTGAGGGTCGACTGCTACAGCAGGTTTACCTGGATAACCGTCTCTCTGGACCACACGTGCCGTTATTCGGTGGCGCCATTTTCTGATTAATATCGAATGCCGTGCAGTCATTTCTAAACACACTGACACTACCCTGGCAGCAAGCTCCCAGGAGTCAGACGGACCTACTTCCTCAGGACAGTTACCAGCAAACAGCCCGTGCAGGGAGTCTAGGCCCCCCGCCCACCCTCGTGGGCTATCTGAGGACTCACTCTGTTCCCCGCTGGCCACTGCAGCTCAGGACCAGCGGGGGCTGGCACAGCGCCTCCAACCTCTAAGTTAGATCTGGATCACCTTCTGGTCTGAGAGAAGAAACAGGGAGAAGAGGAATTTCTCTGCCTCCCCTCCACACGGGAAGTGGGAGAGTCGGGGGCCGGGCAGGGAGGGTGCAGGGACCAATGGGCAGAACGTCCGGGGCTGGCACCTGGTGAGCCTGCTCAAGGTGGATTTTGCTGCCCCGAGTAGTTCCAGGTGTCCAGGGCCCTCCTGACTGCAGAGGGATGGCCGAGGGGCTGCCCGCCCCTCGCAGGCAGATCAAGTGGGCGCGATACAGGCGGCCTCTGCGCCTTGCCACCCTGCTCAGTGCTGTTCTGGACGTTCACCTACACCGATGGACGCGGCTCTTGGGCACGTGTTTAAACTGCTTTGGATGTGAGTGTTTTTAATAAAATTTGTGGCTAATACAAATAAGGCAGCACAAACATTCTTGAACACATCTTCATGCACACGTACAAGAGTTTTATTAAGCATGTGATTAAAAGTGGAATTGTGGTGGGGAGGGCATAGCTCAGTGGTAGAGCATGTGCTTAGCATGCATGAGGTCCTGGGTTCAATCCCCAGTACCTCCATTAAAAGTAACAATAATACATAAATGAACCTAAATACCTCCCCTCCAATGAATAAACATATAAATAGATAAAATTTTTTTTAAAAGGTGGAACTGTCAGGTGGAAGGCAGCACCAGTGTTTATTTTACTGGCTGTTGCTAAGTGGCTCTGCGAGGCAGCCGCTGGGGTCAGGCGCCCCCACGGCACGGGCTGGGACCCGTGCGGCCCTTGCTGGCACTGCTGTTGCCGAGGTGACGGGGACGCAGGGCGGTCTTGTCTCGCTGGACTCCTGCGATCCCAGGGAGGCCGGGCGCTCCTCCAGCGCTTACTGGCTCCCTGGCCCCCGGGAACTGCCTCCTCATCGTTTCCGCCTGTTTTCCTGCTGGGATACTTCTGTTTCTTGTTAACTAGAGGAATATCTTAATTTCAAAATCTCATGTTTTTAATGCTCTTTATGGTGTTTTTGTTACATACAAGTTTAAAATTTCAAAGTAGTCAAGTTTATTGAATTTTCCTGAAGGTTTAGTTTTTGTATCTTGTTTAAGAAAATGCTTCTCACTTCTCTAGCCTGAGTCACTGAGAGTCTCTTCTATTTTCTGAACTGAAAAAACAAATTTCGCTTCAATTCACTTGGAATGTACTTCTGTGTGTTTACAGGTAGCAGTCTTCTTTATTTTTCCCACTTGAACGTGCAGGGAGCTCCACACCCCTCGTCCCTCCATTCATTCCGCTCTCTCCCCAACAATTGCAGCACTGCTCCCCCCACACATGTGCTCCAGGCTCGGCTCCTTCCCACCAGCTCCCCTGTGCCAACGCGGCTCGACCCCGGCTGGGCCCGGAGAGGCTGCACCCGACCCGCCCTCGCCTCCGCCCTGCTGCTGTGGCGGGAAGGGGTTCCTGCTTCAGCTTCACGCCTTTCCAGCTTTTGTCCCTGTTTGAGCTTCCAATGAGAAAGCACAGTTGACACCCCTGTCACACGCATCAAGCGTGCATGTGTGTGCATGTGCACACACGCGTGTGCCGGGTGCGGGGTGCCAGGGATCACTTCTGCTGACTCCAGACAGCCTGGTCTCCTGCTCTTCAGACTTGCCCGAGAGGTGGTGCAGAGCCGGCAGGGCCAGGGCCCCTGTTGACGGGAAAACTCAGAGGGGGGACTGGGGCTGCCTGCGCCCCGCTCCCGTGTCCCCGCAGCTCCGGGCGGCTGAGCGGTGAGCCAGGCGGCAGGCCTGCGGGGGGCGGGGGGGTGCAGGAGCGCTAATGCCCGGCACTCCCTGCCCTCCAAGACAGCGCCCTCCGCCCGCAGCCCGCGAGAGCCGGGCCGGGACGCCGCGCTGCCGCTGCTCGACTGTAATACGGGTTTTCTCGGAGTTCTACGCCACCCTGGTCTCACTGCTTTCCACCTCTACTTCCCCTTCCTGGGGGTCCTCCTCTATTTTCCATGTTAAATACCAGAAAGGTTTGTTGAAAGAATTATTTTTAAAATTAAAATTAAATATACCAGGTTAATCTTTAAGTTCTGTGCAGAAAGTCCTATGAAAATCTCAATTACTGTGTATGACCTGTAGAGCCCGAGAATGAAGTTATTCTGACCGGAGAAAATACCTGACTTCAAATAAATATGACTTTTTTTTAAACTAGGAAATAAGATACACGCTCTATTTGAAGAACTAAACATAGGCATTCCACAGCTTCTTGAAGATGAGAAAAATAGACCAATAAAAATCACTCAAGTAGCTAACAGTATGTGTGTAACTTTTCCTCACCTACGACTCTAAGGAAATCGTTAACACTACATATGACACCACTGGGGTGATTAAAACGTCCTTCTCCACGGGCTGTGACATTCATTTCCCTGGAAATTACAGTCTTAAAACACTCTGACAGTACTTAGGAAATACACTGAGACACTCTTTCCCAGTCTTAAAGACGAGAGCAAGTATTTTAGGGCATAATTAAAATACCAGGGCAAGGCAATGGTCTTTGTATAAATACACTTCTCACCTGAACTAGGTCTCCCTGCTAGGGCTGGTAACACAATCTCAACTGGCCTCAAGTATTCCCAACGTATGAAAAAATCAAACCACTGTATGTATTTACTAACAATAATAATCAAATTAATAATAATCGAAGGAGGTACAAAGATCACCTGAGAAGAGATTACTTACACTGAGCGCGTGTGGCTTCTCGTGGTCTCTTTAAACTCATCACCACAGAGTCACACTTCGAAAGCCACCTGCCACTCATGACGCTGTACTGAGAACGGCAGCTTCTCGAGCCAAGTGACGGCAGCGACAGTGGCACTCCCACGACAGCCACAGGTGCACCTCCCCGTGTCACTCGGCCGTGGACACGGCTACCCCCAGAGACCTGTGACTTCACTGACGAGCGATGCTGCACACGGATGCTCTAGGGTTAGCTGTTCTCTCTCCCTTTTAGAAACACACTCGCGCACCTCCTTCCTTCGCAGAGACTCCCCCTCGCAGAGGTGATTCCGGGGCCCCTTCAGTGCAAGAGCCTCAGCGGGGCACTGCTGCACATCCGCGAAAAATTAAACTTGAACTGGTTCGACGTGTAAAACGTCAGCTACCCACCTACGCAAGTGTTTCTTATTGACCTTTTTGAGGACTGTGCTTTTGTAACGTAATAAAAGACGCCGATAAAACAGGCAGCTGTGGGGCACACGAGCTCCAGGAGTGCGCAGGCCCCCAGGAGCGCCTGGCCATCCCGCGGCAGCACGTCCGCGGCTCAGTTCCCTACTCCTGTTTCAGGCCAGCACCTCCGCCTGGGCGTTCGCACTCACTCCTGTAAATGAGTAAGGCAGGGCTCTATGTGTACTGCGGGTGAATCCACTCACTCAGCAACAAATCTTCTACACCAAGTGGAGAAGAGTATTTTAAAACATACATAAAATCATGTAACTCTAGTTATTTTGATGAAGCATATTAATGAAAGTACACACTGCTTCAAGTAAGGTGCTTATCTGAAATAATGCTTTTTAACCCAGACTTAAAAAATACACAGCATATTAACACGATGCCCTTTGCTGTACAGCACTGGTGCCCAATCCAAGAGTCTATTTGTGTTCAAGGACTTTGGACGAGATATTCAAAGTAATTGACTCCAGGGAAAATATTATGAAGGGAGGCAGGACTTCTCAGAAGACAACATGAAAATCAAGTATGTCGTTACTTACAATGAGCTGCTTCAGCCCCACCAGGGACTGTTCTACCGAGCTGGCACTGAGGACCTGTCTCTTTGCTGCAGCTTTTTCACCCAGGAAGCGAAGCATTAAGTCTTTAACTGCATCTCCCTTGAAAGAATATAAGAAAAATACGTCAGGACAATAAAATGTGACTTAAACTCAGCTAGCCAGAACCCATAACTGACCAAAGTTCCTTTCTTCTCCATTGGTGTGTGGAAGTGCAAACGTGGTTACAGTGCAGGAAAACGTCACTTAACCAGGCGTTCGAGAATTAACCAGACGTTAGTGTCACGACCTTTAATGAAATGCGAGTGTTAGAATGGCTCTTTCCTTCGGGGAGGAGGCAGCAAATCACCGCCGCCTGCACCAGGCTTCCAAAAGAGGCGCAGCAAGCCAGGAGGGGCCCCACCCGAGCAGGAGGTGACACCGGGGACAAGGGGGTGGCGGTCCCCGGGAGAAGCAGCGTGCATGGCTGGCCCAGGGCCCTCTGCCTACCTCCCGTCAGCCTGCCAGCTGGCTTGGGCCTCTGGGAGCCCCGGGGGTAAAGCAGTTACTGGAGGCGAGGCCGCCTTCCTCCCAGCGCTGCACTCACTCCTGAGCAGGTGTTGCACACCCCTGTGGCCAGGCCCTCCGCCCGAAGGACTGGGACCATGTTAGAGCCGCCGAGTGAGACGGGGCTGAGTGAGTGTGTGGAGAGGGGCAGAAAGGCAAGGCTGGGCCAGAGGGACCATCAAGGGACCAGGAGGAACCCGGGCAGGAGCCTCGGACAGAGGCCCAGGAGCTCAGCAAGGGTCCTTGTGGCTTAAGACGGAAGGTGGAGCCTGCCCCCCAGAGCTGGGAGCCAGCCAGTCCCCTGGCCCAGCGCAGGGTCCCCGGACGGAAGCGGCAGAGAAAGCTGAGAGCCGTGGAGACCCGTGGGCCACGGTGCCGCTTGGGGGCCGAGCCCTGGGCTGAGCTCAGCACGGGGAACAGGCCCCATGGCCCAAGGCCACCATTGTCAGGCCCACCCACTGAGAGGGGTCGTGGGGCACGGGGCCCCAAAGCTGAGTGGTCCAGGCCCAGGACAGACAGCCGTGATGGGAGGAGGTCTGAAGCACCCTGTCCCTTTAGGATGCACAGCCGGGAAAGCCGCCGAGCAGTCACTGGAGTGTCGAGCTGGCCTGGCCTTCCCTGACCTGCCCTCGAGGTCCTGCGGGCGGCAGGCCCAGCCACTGCATCCAGCTGCTGACAGAGGCCCTGATCTCCCTGTTGAGCCGCCCGAGAAACAGAACTAGGCCAACCTGGGGAGGTGGGCAAGGAGGCCCGGATCTCCCATCCCTGAGCGGAGGCCTCTTTTCAGCACGGGCAGCGCAGCGGACACCGATTCTGCAGGGAACGCAGGTGCGCATGGTGACAGAGGACGTGCCCTGCAGACGCTGCGACCAGCCAGGGCCTTCCTGCTGGTCCCTCCTCGGGAAGAACGAAGGAGCAGCAGTCTGCCCACACGCAGGGCCACCTGATTCCTCCTCGCCATCTGCGGGGTGACACGTAAACACCACCACCACGGGGACGTGCGAACTGGAGGCGCACTGCCGCCACGGCAGGGGAGGGAAGGCAACAGCCTGCGGTCGTGCTCTCGCTCTGGTCTGGCCCTGGGCGCCAAGCCTGGTGCTCAGAGGCCAAGCCACACCTCCTACACGAGGGCAAGGATCTAGAAGCTGCAGATCGATTATCTTCTGCTCTCAGAGAGTAAGGTGAACCACTGAAAGTGCCAGGACCACAGCAGGGCTCACTGAGCGAGGAGGGAGAATGAAAGGGCAGGAGGAAGCGGGCTCGGCCACGCAGCCCCACGAAGCTCGGCACGAGCACAGCTCCTACCAGACAAAGAGCCTCACTGGGGCCAGAGGGGCCGCGACCAGGAAAGGGCAGAGCACATCTCAGTGCCGCGGGGCGTGCCCTGTCTAAGCCCTTGGTTCCTGCGACGCTCTCAGTTAATTAGACCGCACCGCAAAGATCCCCTGCCCTTTAAAGTCCCTTTAAACATTGGCATCGGCACAGGGGGCTCCTGAGACAGGAGCACGTGCAGGTCTGACAAGCGCCTCGCCCCTGAAGCCCAGGGACGGCACGAGGCGTCCTAGCAAGGCCCGGCTCTCGCCGCGTCTCTCTGTGGGAGGCAGTTCTGACGCGGGGCCATGCGTCTCTGATGCAGGTCCTCTGAGGCTCCTGGGACGGGGGTGGGGGGAAGCCTCCTCCCAGGATGTTCTGAGAGCTGTGCTGTGGCCCCTGGGAAGGGAACCACCTAGAACCCAGGATCCCTTCAAACTGGCGGACCTCAGGGTTTGCTCCAGGGGAATGTGGGAGACAGCACGTGACCGATCAGGGCCCAGGGGCTGGCGCGGGGAGGACGCCCGCTCCCCGTCAGGTGCTATGGAAGAGCGAGCAGCTGGATCTCAGCCGGCAGAGGGCGGGGGGCTGCCCCCTCCTGCAGCGCAGGGGTGGCTCTAGCAGAGCCTGCAAGCGTTTAACGGACGAAGACAAAGCAGAGCCCAGAGCAGCGGACTCAGCATGGGCTTTACGTTGGGTCAGGGAGGCCCGGCAACAGGCGTGTCACGGGCACGGTGCCGAGACAGCAGCAGGCACCTGCCCCAGGTCGGGCCGAGCGCCACCTCGGTTCCCTTGGGGACACGCGGCTGTGCATCCTGGGGCGCTCTGTCTGCTTCCTCCCGGGGAGTGAAACCACTGGAACCGACAGCATCCGAACAAACCAAACAAAACAAACCCCAAGCTCGAGGTCGCGGGGAAACTGGAGCCTGCATACGTCAGACGGAACGTAAAACGGTGCAGCCCTTCCGGGAGACAGCTTGGATGCTCCTCAAGACATTAAACACAGACTTACTACACAATCCAGCAATCAGCAGACCTGCACACTTCAAGCCCGCATTGCTCAAGGTCAAGCGTATCTGACAGTAGAAAGGAATGGCGCGCCGACGCACGCTACAGCTCGGAGGGCTCTTGAACGTGTGACGCCCAGTGACGGAAGCCAGTCCTGAGAGACCACGACTGTGGGACTCACTCGCATGAAACACCCAGAGAAGGAGGATCCCCAGAGACAAGCAGATTCGTGGTTGCCTGGAGCTGGGGTGCAGTGTGGGGATGGATACTGAATGCAAAAAGGTTTGGGGTTCCTTTTGGGTGATGAAAATGTTCTAAAAATTGTGATGATTGTGCAACTCTGTCAAAAATGCTAAATACCACCGAACTGTAAATTAAATGTGTGAATTGTATGGCATGTGAATTATATCTTGATTAAGCTGCAAAAACAAAACAAATCTAAACCCCTCTTCATATGAAGCCCTCAGGAAATCAGGGCCGACGGGAACCTGTAACAGGTTAAGCTGGCTCCGGGACTGTGGCAACACGGCCCAGGCGGGCCTCTGCAGACCCTCCTGGTCTCACTCACATGTCTCAACTCAGCCACGCATCCCTCCCGTCAGGGACCCAGGAAGGGCAGGGAGGCCCAGGCGTGAGCAGTACCTTCTGCTTCTGTCTGCCACAGAGCAGCTGGCTGTGCTTACTCACCAGTGCAAACACCTGCAACACTGGGGAAAAAAAGGTGAAACATTGTTTTCAGACGCAGAAAAAGGCTGTGACCTGAGAGAAGGGAAAAGATGAGTTGAGCTCTTGCATCCAAAGGCACCTTTTGAGCTCATGCAACTTAATAACAAAGAAAAAACAAACAACCCAATCCAAAAATGGGCAAAAGACCTAAACAAGCAATTCTCCAATGAAGACATACAAATGGCTGATAGCTGCATGAAAAAATGCTCAATATCGATAATTATCAGAGAAATGCAAATCAAAACTACAATGAGATATCATCTCACACCAGTCAGAATGGCCATCATTAAATTAAAAAGTCCACAAACGATAAATGCTGGAGAGGGTGTGGAGAAAAGGGAACCCTCCTACACTGCTGGTGGGAATGCAGTTTGGTGCAGCCATTATGGAAAAAAGTACGGAGATTCCTCAAAAAACTAAAGATAGACTTACCATATGATCCAGGAATCCCAGTCCTGGTCATGTATCTGGAAGAAAACTCTAATTTGAAAATTGAAAAGACACCTGCACCCCAATGTTCATAGCAGCACTATTTACAATAGCCAAGACATGGAAGCAACCTAAATGTCCATCAACAGATGACTGGATAAAGAAGTTGTGATATATTTATACAGTGGAATACTACTCAGCCATAAAAAGGATAAAACAATGCCATTTGCTACAACATGGATGGACCTGGAGATCCTCATTCAAAGTGAAGTAAGCCAGAAAGAGAAAGAAAAATACCATATGAGATCATTCATATCTGGAACCTGAAAAAAAAAAGACACTAATGAATTTATCTACAAAGCAGAAACAGACTCACAGGCATAGAAAATGAACTTACGGCTATGGGGAGGAAAGGGGTGGGAAGGGATAAACTAGGAGCTCGAGATTTGCAAATATTAATTACTATATATAAAACAGATAAAAAAAACCAAATTTCTTCAGTATAGCACAGGGAACTATAAGATCTATTCCATATCTTACAGTAACCTATAATGAAAAAGCATATGAAAACGAATATATGTATGTATGTGTCACCAGAAATTGACACATTGTAACTGACTATACTTCAATTAAAAATTTTTTTTAAAAGGGGCACTTTTTGGACCACAGTGCAGGAGTGTGTGAACTTGCTGAGTGGGAACTGGCTGGGAGCTGGAGAAGGTGGGGTGCCTGGAATTTGTAGGTCAGAGCACTAGGCAGGAGGGAGCCATGCAAAGGATGGGCCTGCACCCTTGCGTGGGAGTCCTTGAGTCTCCTGTTGAGTAGTGAGCGGTGCATGCTCAGGGTGGAAGCTCTGGGGGGAGACGGGAGGAATGACGGGTGGGGCGGTGAGCTACAGGGGCTGGGAGATGTCGAGCCCAGGACAAGCACTAGGCGCGCTCTCAGACGCCGAGGCTCTCAGTACAGCCGGCAGAAGGGTCAGCCGAGAGTAAAAGCTACTCTTAGCTCACCCTGAAAAGCTTAACAACAAACCTGAAAAGGGTCAGACAAATCTGCCTACAACATGCCTGCCAGAGCAAAGTGTAAGTCTTTTTGACAAAAGGTGGCAAAATACAGACATGCAACAATATGAAATCGACAATATCCAGCCTCTAATCAAAAATAACTAGACGTGAAAAAGCAGCCACACGCGACCCATAACCAAGAGACAGACCCAAATACAAACAGACCCTGAAATTGCAGATGGAATTTTCAGAAGAAAACCGTAAGACAGCTATTGTAAGTGTGCTCAAAGACCTAAAGTAAAACTTGAACACAATGGAGAGAGAAAAATATATAAAGAAGAACCAAATGGGAATTCTAGAGACAAAAAAACATGAAAACTTTACTGACTAGCATCAACTGCAAACTACAAAGTGCAGAAGGAAAGATAAGTGAACTTAAGGACACAACAGATTTCTCAACTTAAGTACAAACAGAAAAAAGATTAAAAAACACACGAGAAACGAGACCTCTTTGGCATATCAACTAGTACATGAAAGGAGAGGAGAGAAAGTGAAAACCAGAAAGGCTAAGCGAGGAACTAACGATCAAAAATGTTTCAAAACTGATGAAAATGATAAATTCACAGAGCCAGCAGGGTCAACGAATCCTAAAAGAGACAAACACAGAAGAAAACCACAAGAAGGCACGTGAGAGTCAAACTGCAGAAAACCAGGGATAAGACCCTAAAAGCAGGCAGAGGGGAACGTAGGTCAGGCACAGAGGCGCAAAGCTAAGACTGCCACAGACGTCACCTGAGCGACGACACCGAGCAGGGGAGGATGCAAGGGCATCTTCAAGGTGCTGGCAGGACAAAGCTGCGCCAGCCGGGAAGTCCATGTGTGGTGAACAGACCGCATTTCCAGCAGAAGGAACCTCGAACAAGGAAGAGGAAGTAACTTTCTCAGACTCAAAGCTGAGAGAACCTGTAGCCAGCAGACCTGCGGTGACTGGTACGTCTTCGGCCGTCTGCGGGTTTCCAGCACAAGGACTTAGATCAGCCCAGGATGGGGGCTTCCCCAGACTGCATGGGCTTCCCCGACGGGATTCCTGCCAAATCCAAACTGCAGGAAAGGTGAGGAGAGGAGAGAATTGGGGAACGGGGTCAGACGGGGTGGTGGAATGGCCCAGCCTCAAAGTCTATAGGTGGGGTTCCTAGATCCGCTGGCACCGGCCAGGGCGCGCGGAGGCCCCAGTCCCCTCATCACCTGGACCAGCGAGACGCTACTGCCTCTGTCTGTCTCCTTCTCTCCCCTCGCCCACCCGCCTTCCATCCCTCTTTCTCTCTTCAGTGAACAAGCTTCATACACGCATTCTCCAACTTCCATTCTTCACTGGTTCTGAAAATTTCCGAACTACCGTTTCCCCACAAACTTTTCCACTTACTTCTTTAAGAACACAGACCATCCAAAACTCTAATTAGTCAAAAATGCCAATGTTCCCCTGCTGATGCCACCGGGTGGCCGCAGCGTTACACGCTCGTCTTCACCGTCCCTAACTTAACCCAGAGACTGTGTACGAGAAACGTCACAGAGAAACAACTTCATGCTTTTTACTTTTCAAATTTTACCCCGTAGGAAGGCATTTTTAACTAGGCACCCACAAAGGAGCAACGTGGGAACATTTCAATGCAAGTGTTTCAGAAAGGTGACTTTGAACAACGTTGTGACAGTCACAGTGGCACAGTGAGAAACCTGTTAACAGGTAAATCCAGCAAATGGCTGTCTGATATCCTAAGAGCCTGGTGCACATGGAGAGTCAAGAGATGTGCTCCACCAAACTTAAGTCCTCTGCAGACAAACAGCACTTCCAAGGTCCACCGCACAGGTTTTCTTTTCTATCCTGGGAACGAAAGGTCCCTTGAAGGACAATGCACAACTGAAGAGACACAAGTGAAGAAACATCCAGCTCGCTGGCTGTACGAGAAAGTCAAGGTATCTGGGGGGCTACTCTTAACCCGTATTCCAGTTCACTGGGTTTCCAGAACAGCCGCTGTGAGCTGCACGAGGAACGGAAGGCACTGCCTTAGGACCCAGAGGAAGCGAAAAGGAAAGGCACCGTCTCCTGGTTGTGCTCACGTGCAACGGGCCTCCCCAGCCGCTGGCTGACTCCGGGATCCCTCCTTACTTTCACCTGGAACTGGGGAGGTGAGAAAGGATGCTTTAATGCCACAGAGGGGCTGGCCCAGAGCCCACGCTTTTCACAGGAAGTTTTAAACTAGCACAGCCGGCCGGCACCTGTGTCTCTCAATGTGCGAACCACCGCCTCCCGGGTTTCACTGTGCGACACCACCCAGCCACCGCGGGACACACAGCACTCCTGCCCGTCCACTGGTGTCCTGTGCTCAGCCCAGCCTTTCGGGAACTAAAGTGAAACACCTCTACACATTTCCAAAGGCACCGTAGGACCCCTGGGCCCCAACACTCCGTCGGGAACCGCTGGGCCAGATGCACTGACGTTAAAGGAGCTTAAGAGCAGAGTTCAAAGACCCCAGGAGGGAGGAAGGGAAGAAACGTGAAGCAGAGCACCAAGGCCGCCTCCTCGGGGAGTAGGGGTGGGGGCAGGGCTGGGGTGGGGGGACAGATGAGGATTCAGTGAAAATCCTAACCATCAAATATCCCCTGAAATCAGAGTCCATAACTGGGGTTCACTGAAAGACCCTGCAAAAGTAAAACTGACGTTCGGTGTTACTCTGGGTAAAAGGTAGTGAGGATGCCGAGGGCAGTGCCTGGTGAACAGCAAGCCTGCAGGGAAGACGGTTAGAGGGGACACGCCAAAGGCACCGGCACGCGAAACATCCGGAACCTACAGGCTCACACCTGAGTTACTGGGAACGGCGACCTGGCCTCTCTGCCCAGCAGCCACCCTCCTGTCCACAGACTCCAGCCCCCTGGACCAGCCCTTCCCTATGCCGGGCTTTCGGACCTGGCCCTGTGTGCGGGGATGGGAACTCCTTCCCCGGAGGCGACGGCAGGGCCTCCCTCAGTTTCTGGAGGAGAGACAAACGCAGGACACGAGGTCAGCACATGGCGTCCCAGAAACTGCTGATCCCACCCGTAATCTCGGTGTGATGAGCCATGTCTGATGTGCAAATGAGCCAACCTCCTACGGATGCATACGGGTACCTAGAGAAATCCGTGTCACACTGTGCATGCTACGTGCTGGCTTATATCCGGTTTTTAACAGTAAAACAATAAAACGAACAGTAAATGTAATAATAAAAACGAGCCTCATTAAATACTTTCCTATAACGTCACTTTTACTCCCCATGTAACTATCCCCCTCAAAGGTGAGCTGCCAAACGTACGCAACCAGCCTCCTGACGGTGGACTTTCAGACAGTTTCTGACTCTCTGCAACTATGAGCCTCACTCTGACGGGCGTCCCCAACGCTGGTATTTGTGCATCAGTGAGATTATTTCCTTATAAATAATTCCTAAGGGCAGGCTTTCTGGGTCAAAGGGCACGCACCTTTGGATGTGCATTTTACAACTTCACTTAAGAAAGTTTGTACCAAATTATGTTCCCTCCAGGGCTGCCTGAGACAGGCTAGTTTCCCACACCCTAACAAACGTAACATAATCACAAATGAATGAGACAATAGAAAGTGAAATTAACTTTACATTTTTGATCACTGGTAAGATTGAACTTTTTAATGTTGATATTTACTATATATAACATTTATATATTTTAGCAATTATTTTGAGGGGCCATTCTTTTTTTTAACTGAATCTGTAAGAAATCTTTCTACATCAAGCATATTACATGCAATGAAATCCCTACAAAAAAAGGGATGGGAGATTTATCATTCACTGGAGCTGAAATGGCGCAAATAAACTGGCCACATGAAGTTCAGAGCTCCCTCAGAGAGCTGTGAGGCGACTGCCCTGCTGGTACATATTCCTAAGACTCTAATACCTTGCATGGGTTACCTCAGAGAAACCACAGTGCTCCGAATTACCTGGTGACACCATTACATACATTCTCATGTCAGAATCTTAGGAATTGCTGAAAAATAAGGGGTTTTCGATCCTTGAAAGGTTTTACACATACACACACACAACATAGATACAGATGGAAAGGAGTGGGCTGCGGACGCGGGCTCACCCACTCACCGGGAAGGGTCCCGCCAGCCCACACCTGCTCTGAGTCCCTCCGCTCTCACCTGGATGTTGTCAAACTTGAGGCCTGGCATGGTGAGGTCCTCCTTGTCCACGAACACCGTGCTGTACTGCTGGGTTGCCACTGAAATCAGGACCTTCCTCGTCGCCTCCCCAGGAAGCCAGGCGTCGTTTCTGCGGTCCATCTCACTCATGCTCAGGGCGGTGGCAAAGGGGTCCTCGCTCCCTGCAAACACAGCCTGGATCTGCGAAAACGGTTTTGGAGACTGGGGAATTTCTAGAGAAGCCGTGGAAATGCCAGACTCTGATCTTTCCATCCCTGGGGAGTAGGAAGCAGAGCCCGGGGAGTTTTCTGCCCCCGGAGTGGCAGCGAGTGAAGACAAGTTTTCCGGAACCGAAGAGCCGGCGTTGGGATTACTGACGGAGATGAACGTGGAAGTTGTGAAGGAGTCAAAGAAGTCGGAGGCCAAGGAGTTAGTGCTGGCCGTATCTCCAAAAAACTTACTCAGGCTGGGGCTTGGCTGGACCACCTGCGGAGGGGTCCTGGGCGCTGCCTCGCTCGCGCCGCTGAAACTAGGAGATTTCACCATCTGGGACTCGAAGCCATCGCGCAGGGACGGGGGCTGGGAGCCGGCGGGCTGTGGCTGGCTGAAGATGGTGCACACGGGCAC